AGTCATGAGGTGGGAACGTTACCTCTAGACTACGGAGGCCTCTCTTACTAACTCTAAATAACATTTCTTCATTTCTCCCATAATCGGTCTAACTGATCTTCTCCACACCACATTTGGTATCTCTGTTTTTGGAAAAAGACTATCCAGGAAAAGTGATAATGTGGTAGTTTTTCCATTTGCTTTCCACATCGCAGTACAACAGCCGTTCAAACCACTCTGGTCACGCCTGTTTCTGTACGAACTTGAACCATCTCGAGCATCATTTGCTCTGTGCTTCAAGTCGCTGCTGATGACGCTGCTTCCGGCATCAGTTTTTGGTGTCCCTCTTCGTCTGATGCCTACCCTTTGACCTGTCCAGCAAGGGAGGCCCTGCCAGTAGCTACGCTACCGCTGGTATAGCTCTCAGGGTCCTTGGCATACTCAAACCCCCTCACCACGATAAGGTGGAGACACCAACGAGGGGGTTTTCATCTTATGACACTTTACATTTGTCATAAATTAGGCATGTGTTTAATGTAGCCATTCACTGAAAATCGTTAAAACAGACAATAAAGTGTATACCCTATTTCTTACGAACTGCGTTATGCCACGAAGTAACTCATGCCCTTGTCACGAAACTGGGTACATTTACCTTATATGCCATTTATTTTTAAAGGATTTTTCGAGTTCCATATAAAAACAGAAATTTTATTTGGTAGATGAGCGATTGTCGGTCACGGTAGCCGAGCGGTCTAAGTCATGTACTGTCTTCGCTCGCTTGGAAACCGGGATCCTGGGTTCGAATCCCAGTCAGTGCATGGATGTTTAGTTTGTGTGTATGCGTTTTTCTGTGTTTGTGTACAAGTAGAGGCCTTGCGACAAGCTGATCACCAGCCCAAGGAGTCCTACCGAATGTGTAAGATCTAGAAAAACCGAAGTGAACGGAGAAGTTCATGGAGGTAGCCCTAGGCCCACTGGGGCTGTAGTGCCAAGGAAAAAAAAAAGATGAGCGATTAGTAGCTTCTCAAGAAGTATATTTCCCATATACTTTGTTCGTTTGCTAGTTATTCTCCGTGTTTCTATACCTGGTCGCTCCGAGCAGAATGCTCAGTGGACTTAGTTGAATCCGGTAACTGAGATAAGCACTGAAGGGTGTGTATGGACTATGACAGTGCGTCACCCTCCCTCCCACAGTGTAGCTGCAACCAGTACCCCCTCTACTTCTCGCCATCCTTCTCACCACTTCTCCTCACGCGCAACCCATAAGCCATGTCTGAAAACGCGGCCTGTATCCTAGCTACTTATAAACTTTCGAAAGTAAATTGGAAAACTGGCAGTAAAACTCCGGCTTTTCCCATGCAGTCGTAACAAAAGGGAAGGAACGTGATGTAAAAGGAGAAAGGAAAAGTAATTATTGTTTAATTTTGAAAATTGAAACGGTTTTGTCGGAATGTTAAAGCATATAAGTGTTCATTCACCTCCTGGGATCGCCTAGGGTGAGTGCACCTCGATGTACGTAATATAAATCTTATGTGCCTTCCTTTATTTTTGCAGGTAATGGACAACTAGCAGCTTTAAACGTCAATCATCTGACTCAGTACGAGCAGCTGGACTTGCTCCAAAATGTGAGTTGTGGTTCACGGTTTGGAGCTCGTGCCAAACAAGCACCAAACAGCGTTCTTAACCGCTGAAAGCGCTGTAGTTACTGCATGTATCGCCCGCTTTGACGACTGCCCCACTACCTCTCCTCTTCGTGTGAAACCCGTAATCGAGAATTTCGTTAAGCGGTAGAGTAATAAATATCTGCTCATGACATACTGGGGCACGCGGTTGCGTGGTAGGTTGAGGCTCTATGTTACAAGCCGGAAAGTCGTGGGTTCCATTCCCAACGAGGTCACTGATCTCTTTAATTGACCTAATCCTTCCAGCCGCACTATGGCCCTGGGGTCGACTCAGTCTCTAACAGAAATGAGTACCAGGGATCTTGCTAGGGGGTGAAGTGCGGCCGACACGTAAGGCTGACAACCTCACCGCCATCTGTCAGCCGATTGTCTACAGAAAATGTTGTAGCCTCGGCGTCTCACAACTCTATAGGCCTCCACGGCCTGTTATAGGGATAGCTTTACCATTTACCTCAAAACATCCCGTGCATGAAGGACTTAACCGTATGTAAAACACCGTTCTAGGTAATTTAACCATGGCTGAGTTTTCTACTGCAATCTGAGTAACTCGGACACCTAAAATGGCGCTGTCAGGACTTCTCCGGGAATGGGGAGGAAGTTAGTTGTCTAAGGGGCACAGTCAGGGAATTTGTTCAGTAATTTTAATTTAAGTATTTAAAGAAAATGTAATGATGCCCTCAAGTACAAAAGATAGCAAGAGTAGTTTTACATACTTATTTCTTAATAAAATTTCGTATATTTATTTTTTTCGACTTTTGTTCTCTCCAAAATACCTAAGGCTTGACAAACGCCTGGCTTACCTCCGCCACGAAGTCCATGATTTCTCCTATGTGTGACAACAATGTTCATCTGTTGACAACCTCTTGATGGGGGATGCGGTGTCGTCAGTTTGTCTTATGTTCCTTGGTGATGAGGATCTGGCAGCGGTGATCATGGAGAGAGCTATCTTTTCTCGTGTGACGACGTTTACCGTGGTAGTTCACAAACTTTCCAGGGAAATGTCTCACATCTGTCTTCAGCGCAGAAGATTAAAGACAAGCAATCTTCAAGAAGCGGCGAAGAAGTTCTGCTATGTGACGCCTTGTAGTCCCGTTGAAGTTCATAGGTGTTTCGGAGGAATATATTGTCTCCATATTCAGGGACAAGGAGTGAGCTAAGAAACCAACAGTAAGCAAGCAGAAAACGTCTGGAATTTTACACTGTGTATTCCGTATAAATTTGCCAACGTTTCACAGAAATGTACTAATTTCATCTTCAGGGTGTAAGAGTAAGCCAATCAAGCAACCGGCAGAAAGTATACTTGTTTCCTTCTTGCAGCTTGCTGGATTGGCTAACACCCTGAAGACTGAAGCAGTACATTTCTCCGTCTTTGGTGACCTGCCGGACTACACGGAGTCACATACCAGAAGGTAATATTCTTGACTCATTGTGGCGTATAGACCCGTTGCTAAGCGTTGACTCTGTAAACAGCGGCCGTTGCTAAGTTACGTCCGCAACAATGGAACAACTGTGTTAAGGAAACCATTTCTAAGCAACAGATAGGTAAACAAGCCTCTACAATAATAGACTTACTGTTAACAATTGTGTTTTCTATTCGGTACGTGTAAAGTGGTTATAAAGAAGAGAACTGGGGCAACCACTTCACTTGAGGGTTGGCAGATCAGACGAGCTCTGCAAAGGAGGCTAAAAATGGCGCTCTTGTTGAGTGAGCACGGGCGGCTGTGACAAGAGGACCTGTGGGCTTGAAACTGCAGAATCTCCTCTGTTAGTAGCTGTTGTTATGAAACGGCTGATGAAGGAACAGCAGGCAGGAAATAGGCTTGGCGAGTGGTGTAATAATTTGTAAAGTGTGGAGATTACCAATAGTGCTGTAATTACTTGTATTTATGAGTTGTGTGGATTAGTGGTCAATAAATCCACTCACCGATCCAGACCCCGTCCATGGTCACACCCCTAAATCGTGACAGTATGTATGCTCACAGCTCGAGGGAGATGATCCATGGGACCGTTTCCTGTTGCCTCAACGTAGAAGAGGAGTTTACTTAAGCTGCTGTGCTTCATCCTGTAACCAGTTGGATGGAGCGCCCGCTACGAGTGAGACAGAAGCACAATGACGACACATCCATTCCTGGGTGTGACGTCATTTGTATGTGACTCTCACGGTGTTCCTGATGTAGTGACTGAAGTGCATTATCTTATCTGCGTTAGATACGGATTTTGTATTTCTCCTCTGTAGGCTTCTGTGCCATTGACATGAAAATTCTTAGGTCAGGGCTGTGCAAACTCGAACTGCAGAGCCACATGCGCCTTTTCACAAGTGACAGGTGACGTCATTATAGCTTCTATAAAATTGAACTTATCTCTCTGATTATCTGATTAAGCGCCATGCCATAAGAACGTGTGGGTGAGTATAGATATAGCTCCACGCATTATTAACTCGGCATTAGATGAGTGGTCAGCTTCACACTCCGGCCGCATTGCGCTGTGCAGTTTACCCGGTACCCACTGGATAGGAGTCAGGGTGTAATTTTCCTAATAATAAATTAACAATATTGATGTAGTCGAATATTGCTAAACTGGAAGCTTGATAGCTCCGTCAGTATATTTACTAGACCACGAGATAGATGACCGAGAAATCGCGGTACGATAGCAGCATTGGATCAGACCATAGGCATGCCGAAATTGAAATCAGAAGTTTAATCAACAGTTGACGGCAACTTGCACCTCCCTCATTCTTCTGGGATGCTCAGGTTATATGTAAGTACAAACGTACTGGGACATAACTACCAAATTATTGTGTGCTGCATGGTAACGGCTCCATAAACACTGCAACAGACACGCACGAAACAGTAGAAGAAATGTTGGAAGCCATGTTTTCTAGAGGTCCATGCCGAGGATATATAGCGAGAGCCAGCAGCCCCGCGTGGAGGCGTGTTCGAATACCAGCACCGTGACCCTGCGAGTCGTAGGAGGCGACGAAAAGGAATGTCTCAAATCTGAGACAGTAAAATATGGTCGAGAGTCCCTAGGGACTCGGACCCGAGAAAGACGCTGGCAAGCAGCATATAAAAAAGGCAGACCCGTCTTCTCGTCAGAGAACGGTTAAACAGTAATAAAGATCTGGTCGCCCCAGATGGGTGCTTTATGTCAAGACAGACTGGCCGACTGACCGTCAGTCGTAAAATGAAACTCAGATTCATTTATGTGTTAATTGCAGTTATGAGCTGAGACAGTTGAGCTGACCGCCTCTGTGGTCTAGTGGTCAGAGTTCCTGGCTACAGATCCAGAGGTCCGGGTTCAATTCCCGGCACTACCAGATTTTCTGAGAAGTATTGGGTCTGGGACAGGGGTCCACTCAGCCTCGTGAGGATAACTGAGGAGCTATTTCAAGGAAATAGCGGCTCCGGTCTAGAAAACCGGAGTTAACAGCCGTGGGGATTCGTTGCGCTGATCACGCCACACCCTCTATCAGCAAAAGTTGGCGCTAACTTCGCCGACAAGCGGCGGTCGCTCGGTCGGTATAGTTCGCTTGCCGACTAAAACCACGGAGTTTGTTTGTTTTTATTTTGACAGTTGAGTTAGTTGTGAGATTGTTGCCAGTCGATGAGGACTTAAGCGCAGGACATTGTTGGGATGCGTTAATAGGTAGCAGCCAGTGAAGACAAATAGTATCTAACATGAGCTGTAATGAGAAGTACGAGTAGTGTGCGCCATCTAGTAAAAGCTTTATAATTGTAGCTAGGATTTGTTTGTTCAATAAATCCAATTATGAATACAGACTCCGCGTCTAGTCACCGACGCGTTACGATAGGCTTACAGTAGCAATTTTGGCGTGTCCACTCACTTATGTTTAATTATTTCGAGAACTTCAAGCCTTACGGGTAAGATATTTGGGGCATAAAATATGCTCTGTCTTTCCTCATCAGCATTTCTTCCATATATATATCCTGTCCGATTTTAACCCGAATTTGAATGCATCGACCAATTTTATTGAAACAACATTAATATCAAGAAATTTCGCTTAGTGGGGGGTGGAGTCCGACTGGGTCCACTCGGCACGGCGGCCATTGATTGACCTATTGTAGCCTGCCCCGGGTGATTATGATGATAGAGAATTTGGTGGAATGAAGATTGGCAGGGGAAACCGAAGTACTCGGAGAAAACCTGCCCCATCGCCACTTTGTCCACCACAAATCCCATTTGACCAGACCCGGGATCTAACCCGGGCCGCCGCGGTGGGAAGCCAGCGACTAACCGCTTGAGCTATGGCGCGAATTTTAATATCAAGAAAGCTTTTCATTCATTTTCGTGTTGTGAATGCAGTAACATAGACAGTGAGATATGCAGAAGCTAATAGGCACACTTTTTGCACATTGTCCTTGTGATCGCGCAAGAAAAAGCAATATTTTAACGTGATAAGTTTCAGTCACTAATTGAGATTGATCACAGCGCACTTATATACAAATTCAATTATCACACTCTTCCATCTTCCACAGCTGATGTTATGACTAATTTTCAACATGGAAGTAAATGACTAGAAGCAGTTCACTTATGGAATATACAGTCTAAATATACTTTCAGATAGTCATTGTCCTTCAAAATACAGCATTTTTAATTTTGTTTTCGGTTGTGTGAATGTGCAAATTGTAATATTTGAGGTTTTCACGGCTGCCACTATGAAGAATGCCGTCTTATGTGGTGTGGCGCAGTGTATATCTTGTGTTAACCGACGTTCCTCCGAAACGTCGGTTCACACTAGACCTACACGGCGCCACATTCCAGAAGATGGCATTCTTCAATGTGCAAATTATTTGTCGTTTATTTGTTGCTTCATTAATTTATATTCACTCAGAAGAATGGAACGAAATACTCCACCGAAACGTCGGTGAACTCTTGTCCCAAAATACAATCGCACTACCCTTCTTAGTATTTCCTTTTATCCT